CATCCCAGTGTTGGACTACGTGACCTTTTTTTTAATATTGTATTTTTCTATAATACATGTCAACGCAGTAACGTTTAAACGTAAGTGACTTTTCTATTCTTAATTCAATATTATTGCCTCATCACGCGGTGTCATATTTTATTACGGGAAACAACATTGAAATTGTTTGTATTACAGTTTAAGGTAGAACAACAAAGGAAAGATTCGTTTAGGGATAATTTAAATTAGGAATGAGAAATAAGCAACGTTTATTAATATTTAATTTATGTTTGCATAACTATTCAGAATTATGTATTTGTTGGTCGATAAAATATAATGTAAGCACTATAGGTTTAAACCGTAATACTATTACGAAACCGAGTTCATACAACTGTAAACTGCTTATCTTGGTTTGCATATTTCCGTTGTAATAAGGCAATGTTATAGAATATAACGTGCTCTTTATACAAATATAGGATGATAATATATTATTCAAATAATAATGGAAAAACATACTATTAATTACTGTGGTTAATTTAAAAAAAATTATTTAATTTTTAAATACGCTTATACACTGATGAACATCAACAAATATTCATATCTACACACATTAAAAAAACTTACTTTGTATGTTAGCCACAGTTGTTTAATATTTTTAATTTTAATTTATATAACCGCTGATGGTTTTATTTTATCATTATTATGATGCTGCCAATTAACTAGAGGAGGTATAGAAGAGAATATTTTTGTATTATTCAAATAATAAAGTATTACGAGTTAGGTGAAGGTGGAAAAAATTAAAACGTCTATAACAGCTAAGTATAACAATAAATTAAATTTCCGAAATAAGTTTTACCAGAAAAAATATAACTTTTATTTAGAAAAGATAAAAATCGTATTGACCGTCGCGTGTTAAGGATTACTTACCGAGCGATATAGAGTTTTTAATCATCAAGTGCCTCTCATATAGTGACTTAATAATCTCACTCATTATTTTCTTATAGCTTTATCGAATACATACACTTGATATGTTTATAATGTTGTTAACTCTTTAGATACATCTTTGTTATATCGAGTATTTTGTGTTGAGGTTTTTTTTTAACGAAGATAGTTCGTATTCTTGTGCATAGGCACTTCTTGGGCCCACCCACTAACCAACTAGTTTGTATTCTTTGTGGCTGTAATTTTGCATCATGTGTTGGTTTTAAAGTTTGTAGAGCGCGTACTGTGTATACTTTATACATAGTATTCGCATTATGTGCTTGTACACAATTTTAATACATATATATATATATATATATATATATATATATATATATATATACCATATTATATTTTAGATCTGATGCATAATGTGTATAATAGTAGTTTGGAGTGTAGAAATTTAAATTTCATGCCGTCCGAGTGCTGATTCGTGTCGTTACCTGACAGCCCGTTCTATACATGCACACGCCAACCCCATTACTGTACACGTCCTTCTCGTTCATTCCTAGTAACACATACACCCTCCGCCGTCGCTATCCATAACAACATTCTCTCATTCCCGGAATTTCCCTGTATCGGATGTTTGATATTTCCCTTGACGATAAATGACACTGGCCTGGGCCCGTTCACTTGTATGCAAAATTATCGGAACCCCCTCTGGAGTGTATGCCAAAATCGTGTCGGGGTTCTGTTTTACATGCAAGCGCCCCCTCCCCCTCTTCTGCACTATCCGCATTAACAGCTGCCACCACGAATTCCAAACAATTTCAACGGGGTCAACAATGTTATGCAACATCTGCTGTTCAAGTACAATGTATGTATAAATGTATGTAAAATATGTAAGAAAATCGTAACACGATGTTTATATATTCTATACATATTACTATGTGCGCGAGTAATGCGATAAACGGTATTATTTCAGTCATTCGGACAAATTTTTTGCTTAAAACTCATTTTTAATTTCTATAACATTGTCAACACAATTCATTAAAAATTAGGTCAACCAACACTAATCACTATTACACGATAAAACGTTTTAATTGTTTATAATATCATATTATTTGGTTTGTACAAACAATGCTTGGTTGTTTTTAGGTAAAGCGTTGCATTAAATTGTGATACAAATGTGAACAATATTATAACATAATATTTCGGGAACACCGAACGTAATGTATTATTGAGATAAGGATTACGTTTTAAATTATGACAAATGATTATATTATTATTCTTGGAGAACGTGGCGACAACTGGGTGAGCCCAGAATTCTAATGAACTTCGAGTGAAAATTATGATAGTGTTTAAGAAGGCCAAACAAGAGACAGAACTTGAATGATGTGATTAGCGTATACGGTTTGGTGGTTGTCATTACCAGTGGCTTTGCATAATATTATATTTGAATAATTTCGGAGGCGAATAAGTGATGTCGAACCATACCTTACAAATAATCGCATTAGCCCGAAAATACAATATCGTAATTCCTAAAAAAAAAAAAACTATCACAATTCAAACGCTACCTCATAATATTATATTATAATTTACGTACTGTAATTTTTTCCATAATTGACATTTTTATTTATGTACAGGGTATACTATTTTGTAATAATTAATCTTCTTATTTTTTTTTCCAGTAACTAAACCTAATATAAGTAGTACGTTTTTATTATTTAGTACTATGAGAATTGAAACAATGTAAACTATAAATGTTTAGTTTTTATACTTGGTATCATTTAAAAGAAATGAAAACCCTTTTTAATATTAAATGCTATTGTTAAGTAGTAGCTAAACGACTATTAGCACTAAGATCTATGGATACATAAGTTTGTTTTTTAAATTTTTGTTTGTAACTCATAACCCCCCCCCCCTCCTTTAAACAAGCAAAACTTCTACGATATGGAAGCAGGTAACGTCTGTTTTGTAATGCTACGAAAATCGAACCCAATATCTCTAAACTCTAGTGCAACGACTTCTACGCCTTATACCGTTGCCACACACAATGATAGTTTTAAAATGTATTTACTAAAGTATATTTTTGAACGTGGTTAGGACTTTACAACCCAATAGGATTTTTAATACCACAGTTCATTTTGTCAATTTAAATTACTATACGAATATAGGCAAAAGTAAAGTAGTTTTGGTTTTTATTTTAAAATAACTAACGGGTGTATGGTGTCATTTATTTTCTGATACATTAACATCTCAATTATTTAAAACTTATAGTTAAAATTAAAAAGTTTTAATTATTTTTATTAAAAAATTGTATTTACATTTATCTCTTTTACTCTGCCTAATATTTTTACCAAAACGTTTACTAAAAATTATAAAATATATTATTCATTTTGACCAACAGCTGTAATAAAATAATATCCATTTAACATTTATCGTTAGTAGTTTATTCGCGAACCGACTATAAGCCCATCAGATTTAGGGTTGTGTGTGTCTTTCACAGTTGTTTTGCACCCACATTAAGGCGACGAATACACATACGTCAAGGTTTTGACATGAGCGAGCAAGTGTGTTCTGTTTACGAGTTATGGTCGGATTGCCATGAGCGTTTTCCAAAAACCTTTACAGCTTTATTCGTCTCCGTTTTATAAAATGTCCGTAATCGTTAAAATAGGTTATATTTTACTCTTTTAAGTGGGATTAAACGACCTAGAGCGCGAATAACAGTAAGAATCAATTATAAATAATAATTACTATGTAAAACACATGGTATAATGGTATATCATTTTTCAAGCACAACAAACTTGGTTGTCGATTATATTCAGTTAATACATGTTTTCCTCAACCTTTTACTATAGCAGCGAACAATTTGTTAACATTATCTTTAAGTTTAGCGTTTACAACATTAATCACCGCAACCAGTATGGTATTCACAATAGTTATAAAAATAACTGTCATGTAAATTGCTATAATCCGTAAACCATTTAGATAACAATAAAAGTGATGGTTTAAAGAAATTATACGCCCGCATATTTCTAATTCAAAATACAAAATAGCCATTTCAACTTTTAGAATTATGTTGAAATAATATCGCAGTCGAATAATAAAAATTTAATACTTTTACGAAACTGAGTTATTATTCTCTAATTGTAAAAGAAATTCAACATTTTACCGAATAAGTTTACATTATAATATAATACGGTCATGTAAAATGCAAGTTAATAAAAAAGTGATTTTTATATATTAATCAGATATATGTATATTGTATATACATTATTTATTATATAGATAAAATTATTTGACATTCTTCGACGTTCAGACATTAGCCAGTTCGTATGTATATATTAACGAACTGGCTAATGTCTGAACGTTGAAGAATGTCAAATACTTTTGCGTACATTTTGGTTATCCACTAAAACTTTACTTACGTGCGTGCACACATTTCATTTTGTAAAATATCTTCAAACTCGCAAACAGTTTTTAAATATATAGAGTTTTATTTGTATCGTTTATAATAAATAATAATACAATATCTGGTAAAAGAACTTGACAGTTATACATACACACACACACACATATATATATATCTACTTTAACACTACCTAGTGAAAATATACCACTTACGGCCTTTATCAGCGCACGTGTATAACATGTCTTAAATAAAATATATTTTACTTACTACAGTTGCCGCCTATAGTATTATATGGTGAGTGGCCACTATAAATACTATAAATCGACTATTTTCCTCGCCGTTAGTCATGTTAAAATGTATTTTTTTCCAATTCAATAAGTTTTAGCTTATGATTTGGGACCTAATTTTACAAAAAAAAAATACAATACCATTTCTACTTTTCCTCAATCTTTTCACCAAAAAAAGCTTTCTTTTATTTTTTCTTATACAGCTAACGAAATTATGTATAAAATATAAATTCAAATTATAAATAAAAAACACTTAGTGTACATTAAAACCCCTCAATGATCATTATTTAAGTGTGAAATGTATTTTTTTTTCGTGATTATTTTATTACTTATAGTTATAGGTATACGTTAACAAGATATAATAAGTATAAATTGATTGTTTTTTATTTTTACAGAAGCATTGAACCATAATGGCTGCTTTTGTAGCGAAGCAAGTGGTCGGAAACAAACTAAACGCCGTTAAAGGTATGTGTTCACTAAAGTCTTAACATTTTTTAGTGATTTTCAATTAGTTTTATCTGTTCATAGTACTTTTATACTTAATTTAGCATTGTGTTATTTTATAGATAATATACTTTTTCGATTTATATCGACCATATAATATAATATATAGATAAAAATATATCATGTATAGTATATGTATAATAGTAAAATTTACATTGACGACTTTTATAACCGATAAATACTTTTTAAGATGATAAAAAATAACACAACAAGAATTGGTTTGGTCCTGTTGGAAATAATGACTTTTTAAACTTGTTTCTATATTAAACATGTTTATTGTGCCCTAAAATTTCCAGAAACAGGGTGTGATCAAAATGGTAAGATATTGGACCCTAGAGGATTGTTGAAGGAAGTCAATGAATTTAAAATTATGTTAACCTTTTTTAGCCCCAAGGAAACGTCGTCTTCGACTTCGGGCGAGGTAAAAGGAATTTTATAAAAGGGAGGGTAGAAAGATGGCGGAAATTCCTAGGAGATACCCGAGCTTATTTACATATTATTATTTTACCAAAAACAAAATGTATAACTTTAACAATATGCTTTTCACCCATTAAATGTAATAATAAAAGTATACTATTTCCTCGCATTATTTTATTCCCAATATAATAACGTAGCTGTCAGATAAACTTTTGCACTCTAATCGAAAAAAGTCCATGAGTACTTTTTTGGTTTTTAAAAGTTTTCTATCTATTTTCGAAGCAAGTATAATATTATAGCTTAGACATTAATTCTATATTATTTACTAACATTCGTTGCGATTAACACAAAAAGTTAATAATTTGACATTAATTATAATTTTACATTCAACAAAAAGTAATGTAAAAATTTATATTTTTTAACCAACATTTAGTATAATAACTTTTAGTAGGTTGAATAATTTAAATAACAACTTGAAGTGGCTTGCTCGGGTTTTTAAAGAGGGAGGGGGTCCACAATTTATTTAACTTGATAGTTACTTACAACGGGGATGCTTAATTTGTTTTTATTGTATGTAAACGTTTTTCTTTTCTTTTAAACACATTACACAAGTACAATGACATAAACTGTGAAATTGATAATAACACATATAGTTTCTTAATATTTTATTTTAAGTTTGTCTTATACTGAAATTGGAAACTGTGTTCGTTTTTTTACCTTTCTAGTATATGACTTATATAATATAAGCTAACAATAAGAATAAAAAAGGTGTTGTTTATTTAATTCTTATATGTACTTTCAATAATAATTTAATTTAAGGTAGTCTAAAACAAACAATAAGTGAAAGGTAACAAAAAATAATAAAATATTATTTTGAGTATGTTAATATTAATTAATAATATAACAAAGTAGTATCATATCAAATTAAAAAGAAACAGTTACCATCTACAAACATTTCTTACCATAAATATACTCAACAATTACATTATTTGTGGAATTTAAATTTGATGTAGTACTAATATTATTCAGTTTTGGTAGCACAAAGTTGTATTTTTACTAATATCTGAAAAAAAAACATGCTGGATAACGCTAAACACATTCTATTTATAGCGGCCGACATGTAAAAGTCATGTATATCATGAAATTTGATATTATACAATAATGTATAGGCCATACAGTAAGCAGTAAGCTAATGTTATTACCAGTTTCAGCTGTATCATTACTTATATACATATTTATATGTTGAGTCAGTGCGTTTTATGCTTATCGGTGGGTAAACACAGTACAATTATAATATACATTTTTCCAGCTTTCCTCATTTAAAATTTTCTTGTTACCCAACTGCAGAACAAACAGTGCAATGTGTTTAAGCGTTCTTAATGTATGTTTGTTTGTTTTCATTTTCTACTAAAAATTCATTTGATGACTTAAAAACTAAAATGATCTGTAAACCCACAGGAGTATTATTAGCTAGGTTTAAAAAAAAAATGTATTTCTGAATTTAAGGAGCCACTTAAATAGGACTGGAATACTCACTCAACGTGCCGATGAAGTGTTTAACAAAATGTTTTTATTTTTGATATTTGTTGTTTTAGTCGGGGGACGGGAAAGGGTTAGTTAATAAGGTTTTTATTCTCATAGGATATAGTAATTTAACTATATATTGCTCATTGGATAAATAGACAAACATGTAATTTAATGAAAAATGTTTAGTGTTATACGAGTACATAGATCGTTGTGTATAAAAAGTAAAAACATAAATGCCTTTTTTGTAAACTGGATTTTAATTGAAACGTCAAATCGCATGAAAAGTGACTTCTACTATAAAATATTGTGAATTATTTTCCTTTAATTCTCTCTTTTTCACTCTGACGCTTAATGGACCGTTATCGATTGATAACACACACCAATTAGTTAGGCGCCAGCTCGACGGTAAGGTTCATATTGTTTTTCTTAAAAGCATGTACAAGAAAAAGGGAAAATAAAAATATAGGAAAGAAGAAATCGTGAAGGTAATACAAATTTAGACAATAAGATAAAGAAAAACAAGTAAATCATAATTTACTTCATTTTATACATTATAAATAAATTGTTTCGTTTATGTATTTTCGGATTTCAATTTCTATGCATTTTTTTTTGTGGTAACTCCGTGTAAGCTTTTTTAGAGCGCGTTCTAGAAATTTCCTTTCCCTTTAGTCCTCTTAAATAGGTCAATAAAACAAAAATACGGGCTTGCGTGGCGTAAAGGCCGAAGAAATATCGTCGGAACTGCTTACGACTAAACGATATTGTTGGCCCCCGTAGATTTAATATTTGGGGTTGGCGCGTGCATATAATGGTGTATATATATATATATATATATATAGAAACTGTACCTGAAACAACAGTAAAAACTACTGAGTCGACAGTAATAATAATACTTTCTCCTCAACCACCCTAAATAATGTTATTTTTCTCATAAACTAGACGATTAAAAAACTTAAAAGCATAATAAACAGTAAATAGTATATTATAGTTCCTAAGTTTATGCCAACTTTATTCTTAAATGACTTCCAACCAATGTTTTTTTTTTACCTTCTACAATACTAACAGAAAACAACTTATGTAATTTTTAATAAATAAAACTGCTTCTTCTTCCGGTATTCAACCCGAAGGTTGGCTTTGCAGGTTCCCGTATTCTGTCCACTCATCTCTAGTAAGTTTCATCTCTTTGTTACCTTGATCCATTCTGCTTTACTAGGCATTTAATGTGGTGGTTTGTAACATCGCTATTGATTTACCAGTATTAGGAGTATGATGTGTCTGCCATCATCTAATCCTTCCATTGCCGTTAGTTCTACTACAGAAATCGCCAATGGTCGGTAGTAGTGATTACTGCTGCCCGCTGCTACCTCCTTTTAATTGTCTTTTACGATAAGCAAGAGTTACTGTAGACCTATTCTTATCTCCAGCCCACGGGCGCAAAATACAACTTTGAGATAGTAATATTATACTATGGAAAATGAAAGCAAACTAAGTTTCCATGATACTTCACAGTTCGATCACCTAGTTTTCAAAAAAACAGTTTGAGTAAAAATTAATCTTTAAAGAACACTCATTAATGAGAGATTTGGTAGCTAGGTATTTTTTGTCAAAATCTTAATTTAAAAATAATAAAACTTAAGTATCATTTTATTTATACTGTAACGAGGTGCTTTATTGGGTATTTAATATTTTTAGACTATCGTGGCGTATATTTGCAAAGTTGTTTTTCCTATTTTTTTTAGATCGATTTGTCAATTAAAACCATTATTTTTTCTTAACAGATTGTTTCTCTTCCTAATAATCTTTTATGCGTCGAGCAAATTAGATTTAGACTATATACTGTATGTATACATCGATTTGCTTACAACTAAAACTATGCTAATATTATATCAAAATAGAACTCATCCGAATTCACTACTCTATTACGATTTTTCATAATCGCAAAATGTCATTGATAAAATATCATGTTTATTGAAAGTATAGTTTTGGTAGAACCATTTTTTTTAACATCAAATTGTTTATGTCTTAAAAAATGTCGCTAAAAATATAATTTTAAATAATTAAAAAATATTAACTTTACTTAGATACGCTAAACTACAATTTTTAAATGTTTATAACTTATTTAAATTGAGTTGTAGAAAAATGTTCCACCATTTGAATATTTATAATTATGGATAATGGAGTACAATAGAATTGAGAGTAGAAATAATTCGAGGGTTGTATATTTTATAGCGCACATATTTTGTTATTTGATTTTTTTAAATTGTCTTACTTCAGACAGTTTCGTGATTGTTGTGTCTCCATTCACTTTTGTATATTGCCATAATATCCTTTCATACATATATTTTAACATTTATCACGTCTTCATTTTTAACAAGTTAACTGTTGTTGACCTGTAGTCATGAGTATTATAAAATTTAATTTTAATTTACAATTATAGAGTATTGCTTATATTTTATAATAGTGAAAGAAGTGAGTTTTTATAATTAAAAAATTTTATATCTTCAACCTTTTGTCATATTTTCTTAATATTTTATTATAATGAAACGCCAACAGCAAAGTTTCTAGATGAAACGATATTTTATTTATACATTTCGTTTTTTGACCCGTTGAATTATGCAACACTCCCTTGTGGCATGTCGACCGATAATACAAATTTACTTTAGGTTTTGAACGAAACAGTTTTTTTTAACCAAATATGTTTTTTACACAAAAATATTGACATTTTTTATTAAATGTTATAGTTTTCTTTCAATTTTTGTTTTATACTCTCTGAAGGTACATCTTATCATATTTTATTTTATTTTACGCACATTCGATGAGCCTAGAAGGAGACGATTTTAAGTTTGTATATATAATGAAACTTGAACGGTAGTCGTAAAATGTACTTTAACGATCGCATCGTAAAAAAGGAACAACATGAACGACAATTTCGATGGGTCGTTTGTACAGGAGGGCATTATTTCGATTTCTGATTGATGCGCAGCTTTTAGTATTATTAGTAATTGGTGTACATCAGT